ACGCAGTTACAAATGTTGACCAATCGCCTGTGGCTTTCACCAAAGCAAAAGGGGAGGGGGAGAGGGGAGGGGACGGCTCCCAATGACGAGCCGGCTCCTGTCGTTCACTTCAAAGAGCCGGCTCTTAGAGCCGGCTCGTTCACGACCGACACATCACTAGTTTATTAGTTGAATTTTCACAATTAGCTGAACTGTGAATTTAGCAGCAGAAATCTGAATGCAGAGTTTAGTGGAAAAATACAACGTAAGGGTAAAGTTAGGGAAATGCCACTATTACATAGAGACAGAGGTTAAAAATAGATGACAATCGGTAACATTTTCTTTAACAGCAGAAAGCATAAACCTCTGAACTTAGTTTAAAAACTTGACACCTGAACTGCTTAAAATCTGACATTGTAGCTGAAATACTTGAAAGATCAACTGTTAAATTAGGACAGTGATCCGCAAACGGCAGCCCGCGGGCCACGTCCGGTGTCGGTACAGGATCTGTCGGGACTGCCGATGACGTCAAAGTAGTTGATTGGCTGAACATGAACCTTACGGAATTACGTTATCACGTTACGTTGTTATCACGTTACGTTGTTATCACGTTACGTTGTTATCACGTTACGTTGTTATCACGTTACGTTGTTATCACGTTACGTTGGTCCAGGCAATTTTTCTGTTGGAAAGATGGACAACTTTTACAAAGAAATCCATCATCACGTCCTTGAACGACGTCTCTAGGTAAAAGTATGCCAAAGTAGTTGAAGTTTAAACGACGGAAAGGAATTTGTGAAAAGATTTGTTGCTAATCACATTGCCATGGTAATGCAGAACACCAAAAAAACGTTATTACAAGACTCTTGAGACCAAGCGGGGCAATTTGATGTATCATCTGTTTGGTTGCTTATTTCTGTTAACCCAGAAGATGATATACACTCTCAGCCAATCAGAGAGCAGCAATGGAGGAGGGGGTGGTTCCCTGCCTTCTGACTGTTGTTAAAATGTTAGCTACATTTCTAGTTTTAAGTGTAGAAAGCTTTGAACACTAAGAAACAGCAGTAGGTTATTGGCTCTGTAACATGTTTTTTTTTAATATTTACAAAATAAGATGTGATATTCCATTAATTATGACTTATCAATATTATTGATCTTTTGATATTTGATCTAAGATGAAACCAGGTCTTTTGGTAGTCCAAGGAAATCACACCTTTGTAATAATTTGAGACTGAGGCAAAAGTATATTTTGTAAAAATCTATGTAGTACTAGATTTGTACTACTGATGATGGCACAGAAGAAATGATGATGAGTTATGGTTGAAACAAGATAACGGAGACAATAAATGAAATGATGGATGTAAGCTTAGATGTTATGTGGCAAAAGCTAATTAAGTGTCTTGGAAAATTGTGATGTCTGGGTTTTAAAACCAGTCTGACTGGATGGTTCAACAAACTGTCAGTTAATAGCACCATCCAGCTGTGCAGAATCCATTAACCCTTGTGGTGAAGGCTCCCGGTGGTCCATGGACCAGAGAAGTCTGTGCAGACAGACTGCCGAGGGAGTTGACTTCTGTGGTATTTGAAGCACGTAGTTCCACCACAAATACAGAACCACTGGTCTGATTTACCTTCCGGAGTACCTTCCGGGTGAGTGCTGGCATTCAGATGAAGTTTTGCAGTTTTGCAAAGAAGGTTTGACCTCGAAGAATGGTTCTTTACCCGCTGAAGCCGTCTGGCCTAATTGTTCAGCTCACTCTAATTGACCTTAGAGGCACGGGATGGACGTCAGTCCTTATGGCCTAGAGTCTTCTCCTTTCCTGTTTGGCCAAGACCTCTGTGTGTGTGTGTGTGCGTGTGTGCGTGTGCGTGTGCGTGTGTGTGTGTGTGTGTGTGTGTGTGTGTGTGTGTGTGTGTGTGTGTGTGTGTGTGTGTGTGTGTGTGTGTGTGTGTGTGTGTGTGTGTGTGTGTGTGTGTGTGTGTGTGTGTGTGTGTTGTCTTCTCCATCCCCAGTGAGTCGTGGAGGATGGCTGCTTATACTGAGCCAGGATTCTCTGGAGGTTTCTTCCTGTTAAAAGGGAGTTTTCCTCTCCACTGTCGCTGCATGCTTGCTTAGTATGAGGATTGCTGTAAAGACTCTGACACTAGTCAGTGACTCGATGCAACCTGCTGGGTTCCTTATATAGGAAGCTTGTTACTGATTGGCTTAATGAACTGACCTGTATTGGAATGTTTACTGTGTGAAGGTCCTTGAGACGACTCTGGTCGTGATTTGGCGCTTTATAAATAAACTTGAATTGAATTGAATTGAAAAGTGACAGGATGTTGTGGTAAATTTTACCATTAATTTCAATGTAAAAACAAACAGCAAAAGTTTAATAACTCAAAAATATTAAATATTTCAATGCCAAAAGTAAGGCATGGAAAGAGCCTAATGAGTTGAATAACACAACAATGATTAAAACAGAAGAATATGATTAGAATAAATACATGTGGTTTCCTTTACATTGGAGAGGTAAGATATCTATTTATTGTATCCAGTTGTGCATTTTATGGACATAACATATCTATATTTACTTGAATATGCAATGTTTGTACGACTACATGTTGAATTCCAACTTTATTGCTATGCTGTCAGAAGTATAAGCTTTACCTTTTACACTGTTGGCAGATACACCCTTTGTTTACAATAAATAATCACAGGCTAAAGGAATATTTAGGCAGCCTTCCAGATTCTGCAGGAGCTGCGAATTCCTCATTTGTGGAAAAGAAAAAACTAAATCTGACACGAACCACAACACGTGGCCCAACAGGCCAACACAATGCTGACGTAGCCTTGAAGGGCTAACAAACAGCTAATGTTTCTGACATGTTTCTGCTCAGACTCACTCAACTCTAACAGCTGAATTATCTTCTAAGTCTTTCTAAAACTCTACAGGACATGCTAATCGCTCGTTTAATCAAATCTGGGTTGTTCTAACAAGGAAACGTCTAAAAATGGAAAGAAAACAACAATGCTGATGCTAATGCTAACCACTAAAACCACTACTCTATACAAATAACATAAACAATGGTATAATATAGCATAAGGTTAAAGCCTTAGACTAACTCTTATCTCAAATACACAGATGATGAATTCCCCTTTTGTTCAACTCTTCTCTTCCAGTTATCTGTTCTTTTATTTTACGGACCGACATTACTTTGGTGCTATGTTAGCATTAAAGCTAGCGCCATATTAGCCGACACAGCCAAATCTGCACTAGTATTCCTTTCATTTTAATAGAAAAATAATCAGTTACAGTTCTCTAAAATACAATAGATTATTTAGTATTTAATTGTCCAAAAGCTGCTTTGCCAATCAGTTTTGAGGCCTTGTAGGTCACAAAGCTTCCTTCATCTTTTAAGATCATCTCTGATATAAAATCAAGGCAAAATTAAAGACGCAATAATTTTTTATTTATCTTTGTGTGTGTGTGTGTGTGTGTGTGTGTGTGTGTGTGTGTGTGTGTGTGTGTGTGTGTGTGTGTGTGTGTGTGTGTGTGTGTGTGTGTGTGTCCTGTCTGGCTGTGAAGCAAACAGCATTGATGTCTGAATGCTGGTAACAAGCCTTACAGATTTACTCTCAGGTGGAGCATCAAAGCGTCTCCTTTTAATGTCACGCCTGATACTTAAAACTTTATTATTGTTGTTTTTGAATGCTTTGTAATTCCGACCAGACACTGAGTCAGAGGTAAAAGAGAGAGGAAGAGACAAAAGATGGGGGGGGGGGGGGGTCCACAAAAATAAACAATAATGAACAAGAATCTGCTTCTAGACCTGCAGAAAGAGAGAAGAGAAAAAAAAATGGGACACAACAACAATCCAACAAGATCAAGCTATCACTGTGTCAACTTGATGAAGAAATATACAATCAACATTGTTTAACTGAACAATCACACGATAATAAATCACAGTGCATTAAGTGCCCACCACAGCCTTAAGACATGTGTTTAACGTGCCCAAGTCCATACTTATGAGAGCCCCATGTGAGCACCTGTGTGTGTACATGCGCTTGTTTATGTAAGGTTTATCTATAGGAGCGTCCAATAGAGAGTGTGAGGGGCCACAGATCCGCCCCCTAAAGATGTGTAGGAGACGGAGGGAGCTCCAAGTCCCAGAGATCCAGGAGCTGCCCCAGAGCACAGGAACTCCAGGGAGACTGCAACCAGAAAAGCCCCCGTCCCCCTCGAGAGGCGCAGAGGATCGCCCCGGGGGGCCACAACCAGCAGCCGGCAGAGTCCCGGGAGATATCGGCGGCAAGCCCACAGGCCCACCCGCAGCCTCCCACCCCCTAGCCGACCGAGCCTGGGACCCAGGGGCACCCCCGCCGGGGACCCAGCAGAGCCCAGGGACCCAGACCCCACCAGGCAGCCACCGGGATTGGTCAGGCAGATGCCAAAAATCTTAAACTCCCTGACCCGGGAGCCACAGCCCAGGCAGACCAAGGCAATTTTTAAATTTGTTTCAGAAGTTAAGGCAGTGGAAGAATCAGTACCTTCAGTATTTGTTGCTCCATTATGGTGTGGAACCAACTGAGGGGGATGACACCATTGTGCATGCTGGTGCCATTGACTGACAGCTCCCTCTTGTGGAAATGCAGCACTATTGGTCAACACGGTAGTAGAAATTATTCTCTGAAGATACCAGGGGAGGGACTTAGAATAAACTAAAATATGAAAGATTATTTACTTTTTCTCATAGAACTGGGTCAGTTGGTCAAATTTAAGGATTTTTAAAGTTATGTTAACAATTAAAACGTATATACCACATCATTAAGAATCATAAAGGTCTTTGATGTGAGACTAAAGCCTGATTTAGTGAGGCAGAATCAGAACCACATACAGCCTGTAGCCTGATGCTTTTTCAGGTTTTGTTCTGCTGGTCTCTAATAATCAACTGTATGGAGCTGGAAGTCATTTCCTTGTACAGGTTGTGTTTATTCCTCACATCAGAGTGACGAACAGTTTTATTCTCCTTTTCAGAAGGAAAACATTGGTGACCTGCTGATTGTAAATGCCAAGCTGAGTCAGGCAGGAACTTTCACCTGCACAGCTCAGACTGTCGTGGACAACGCTTCAGCTTCAGCCAAACTGGTTGTACGAGGTAAGGTTCATCCATGGGGTGCTGAGGCCCCATCCTGAAGTGGGGGGGGGGGGGGGGGGGGGGGTTGTAAATAAAAAATATATACATAGTTGCAGTAAATGTGTTAGTGTTGCTTAAGTTTATGCACCTACATCCAGTCTGAGTTATGTACACTTCGTCGTTGTCGTCTTCCTCCGCTTATCCAGGTCCGGGTCGCGGGGGCAGCATCCCAACTAGGGAGCTCCAGACCGTCCTCTCCCCGGCCACCTCCACCAGCTCCTCCGGCAGGACCCCAAGGCATTTCCGGACCAGATTGGAGATGTAACCTCTCCAACGTGTCCTGGGTCGACCCGGGGGTCTCCTGCCGGCAGGATATGCCCGAAACACCTCCCCAGGGAGGCGTCCAGGAGGCATCCTGACCAGATGCCCAAACCACCTCAACTGACTCCTTTCGATCTGGAGGAGCAGCGGTTCTACTCCGAGTCCCTCCCTACCAACGACCCTGCGGCTACAGCTCTGGTTGGCCGCCTCAATAATGGAGGCACAAAACAAGGTCCATTTGGACTCAATGTCCCCCACCCCCCTGGACTGTTTTGTTATTTTGGAGGTGAGAATTGAAGCTTAATTTGACAGGAGACTCTGCCACACGTTCACATCAGACCCTCACAATACGTTTGGGCCTGCCAGATCTGACCGGCATCTCTGAAAAGGGTGGGTAGTCTGAGCTGCAGTTTGGTGCATAAGCACAGACAACAGTCAGGTCCTGAACCCCACACGTAGGCGGAAGGAAGGCTACCCTCTCATTCACGGAAAAACCCAAAAGTACAAGCACCAAAATGGGGGATAACTAGTATGCCCACCCCTGCTCGGCAGGCCTCAGTGGGGGCAACTCCAGAGTTATAGAGTGTCCAGCCCCTCTCAAGGAAACTGGTACCGGAGCCAGAGCCATGCATTGAGGTGAGTCTGGCTATATCTAGTCGGAACCTCTCAATCTTACACACCAACTCAGGCTCCTTCCCCACCAGAGAGGTGACATTCCATGTGCCAAGAGCCATCTACTGTAGCCGAGGATCAGACCGCCAAGGTCCCCGCTCTTGGCCACCACCCGTCACACAGCACCCAACTCCTTTAACCTCTCTCACGAGTGGTAAGCCCATGTGAAAGGCGACCCACGTTTCCTCTTCGGGCTGTGCACAGCCGGGCTCCATGGGTTAAAGCCCGGCCACAAGGCGCTTGCCAACATACCCCACCTCCAGGTCTGGCTTCAGAGGAGGGCTCCAGTGACCCGCGTTTGGGCGAGGGAACACTATTTCAATGTATATTTTTCTCCATAAGAGGTCTTTGGGCTGCTCTTTGTCTGATCTGTGACCTAGGAACTGTTTGCCATGGGTGACCCTACCAGAGGCATAAGACCTCAGGCAACTTAGCTCCTAAGATCATTGGGCACTCAAATCTCTCAACCTTCGTAAAGTGGCCACCCAGGGAGGGCTTTATTCACACCATACCTCAAAAATCAAGTTTTAGGCTACTCCACACTGTGTGGACCAGCAAAATGTCCCCAAAATGTACAAGTGTCCACACATTAAAGTTTAAAAGTCAACATTTGTCAAAATAAACATGTAAAGAAATTAAAATTTGAAATCATACCTATAGCTGTTTATTTGTTCTCATTTTATTACCAATTGATTTAGGTCTGACTACGAACATGGGGAAAGCATGAAACTCTTCTTGTGTTGTGTTCAGGGCCTCCAGGACCTCCAGGAGGTCTGCTTGTAAAGAATGTGACTGAGACATCTGTTGAGCTAAGGTGGAGTCGTGGCTACGATAACCACAGCCCCATTGGCAGATACATCATTATGGGTCGATCTGCTCTGTCATTAGATTGGAAGAAGATGATGACAGGTGAACAGTTTTATAATTTTTTTTACTTTCGATTGTGGATGTTATTTCTTTAGTTTAGTTATTAGATGTTATTGATTAATGTAGGATGTCATTTTTCTATACTGACTAACCCCAGAGGATTTGTGTTTTGTAAGTTTTCCCATGGAACCGCTATTCACCTAATTGTAATTAGGTGAATGTAATTTTCCAAAACAGTGTTTGATCCAGTACTCCACTCACAGCATTAGAAAATACAATTTAAAGAGCAAGTCACCCTCTACCAGTGTTACTCAACTTTCACTTCCTTTTTGAAAAATGCAATACATGCTGTTGCCTGGCAGACCAAGAAGGCAGAGCTGCTAACAAATACACACACACAGGCTCACAATGACATTGTGACATCATAATGTACCAGCTACATCATAGTGTACCTCTTATCCAATAACGATGGCAGATTTAAATTCAAATACAATGCGGAGTTTTTACCTGAAGATGGCGCAACTCTTGACAGTTTAAGGCAGAATATTTTAACAAAGATACACTAAAGTGCCAAATAATTAACAGCACATGTCTACAGCACTATTAGACACTCATTTGTATAGTTAATCAGGGAGAAAAGGTAGATTTAGGAGTGACTTACTCCTTAAAGCCCCAGTGTGAAATATTTTTACCTGTTTACTATAAATCCGTGTTTCCAGTTCACAAATTTGTCCTTTTAACTCATTCACTGCATTTTTTGACTGTGTGGGCATCGGACGAGCCCCTGCACCCTGAGAACAAACATCCCAGCTCTAAAGCTGATCTTCATCCACGTATGTCGCACGTCACATGATCAGAAAGCAGAAAATCCATGTGTTAGGAGATCGTTTTGGGCCGCTGCTGTAACAAAAGTGAGACACGAACCGCAAACGCTTCTGCCGATCATAATTCAACAACGGATTATGAAATAATGGATAACACTCGAAATGCACGGATTCTTCCTGATGTAAGAGGTGAGTCTACCCATTGTTTTGGTTGTTTTGGTGTTGACATCATCTTGGCGTGCAACGTTCTGTGACTACGCTATAAAATGCTGGCAGCGAAGGGCTTTTCTGGTCAGGAAATGACTAGCAGTGAATGAGTTAATATTTCTCACCAGCATCAATTCTAAATATTCCTCTCAGCTTGAAATTTTAAATTTTTAAATACAAAAACTGTGGTCGACACTCCATGGTCATCCACTAGCTTCAACATACGAGCTCTGCATTGTGCGTTTGAACTATGACTGTAACCTGAAAGAACCAGCAGAGGGCAGCAATGTGCCCTGGGAGCATGAAGTCTGCTAATTCAACTAAGAAGTAGAAGAGACTAGCTACATCATTGCTGTACTTGTTAGCCATGGCTGGCGAGCCAAGGAGATTGGCTGGTGGCTGAAGGTCAGCATTGTTTACCTGATCTCCACTGCGATCACCAACCCGCCTTCGCCAGCCATGGCTGCTGGTGATCGCTCCATAAGAGATTGTTTTCTTTGTTTTTCTATATCATTAGCTGGTAGCCAGCTTGTTTACAAAGCTGCTCTCATCCACGTGAAACAGGTGTTGTGGGGAATGATGTTCCCCTGAAATATTCTGTATCTCTTAGGCCAGGGGTCGGCAACTTGTTCCCATCAAAGAGCCATTATTACCCGTTTCCCACAGTAAAGAAAACACTGGGAGCCACAGCAGCCGCGGCGTTGTGGGCGGGGCCTACCCTCAGACAGCAGAGAGCTGCTCACAGCAGGTGACAGCAGCCGGTACCGGTCGCTCGTGTACGTCAAAGTTATCTTTCATAAGACGATAATCAATAAAACGATTTATATAAAGTGGATCCAGAAGTTGTAGCCCGTCTCTGCCGACAATATTTTGATCTTTTTCACCCTGTTGGTGGTTTTACTGAGCAGGTGCCACTTTTGTCATACGTTTCTTTTTAAAACATGTTTAGACTGTTCAGAATACAAATCCAGGCTCTGTCACGTTTGATTGTTGTAATTAAACTTTGTAGGTGGGGAAGGTCAGAAAAGGATCCGATCATTTTGTTTTTCCCTCATTTACAGTGACGGAGACAACGGCGCAGTGCGCCTGGCTCTGGTGGTAATCACGTTAAATTTTAGCTATTTTCACAAGAAAACAAAACAGTTAAAATCAGGGCTTGTGTTGACTGGACAGTTCCCGTATTTGACCGTTTATTTTGACGGAGAAAGAATAGAAAGAATTACCCCGACGCAAGCAGACGAACTGACATTTTATTCGTTTCGCACATCGCAGATGTAGCTAAATCACTCAAGAAAAGATTCCCATCTGAACATCTGAGCTGGACACCGCTCAGCGCAGCTCACCGTCAGCGTGTACTACATGAGGTGCACAGCGAGCTGAAGATGTGGAGAGGGGCTTGGAGCGCGTCGCAGAACCAGGGAGCATGCAGGAAGATTCCTCCGACTGAAGCGAGACTTGTCATTTAGAAAATGTTCCCTGATTATGAAACTTTGGCTGAATAGCGCTTGTTCCTGTCTCCAATGTGGCGACACATCCAGGAGCCGTCTGAGGAGAATCCCAGAATCTCACATCCTTGTCAGCTCAGAACACGCCGATATGATTACGCACAAGCGTGACGCGTCAACCCGGTGTCACAGTACGACCGGCTTGGACCTGTTCAGGTTTACGCAGACAATCTTTACATTTAGAATTAGCTTACAGATGTAAAATTAATGCAGTAAAATATATAGCATTTTATTTAAATATCCATTCATTATTTTACAAGCACAGAGAGCCGCATCAGATGGATGGAAGAGCCGCATGCGGCTCCAGAGCCGCGGGTTGCCGACTCCCGTCTTAGGCAGTCAAGAGCAAATATTTCCAAATTCACATAATTTATTGTCCATCATGAGAACAAAACAACCTTGAATATAAGATGGTTAAACTGAGTGAGACTACATCGTTTTACATAACTTTCAAAATTGATAAATAAGCTTGTAAAGAGTGAACAGGAATGTTTTTACTGAATCTTTTTTTATTGTTTTTAGGAGGACATGTAGATCAAAAATCACAAGCATAACATTATTACATTACATCAGTTTCCTGTAAAAGTCGATCACAGATGTTGTGAAGATAAAGTGACCTCCCGACACGGCAAGACAGAATATTTCAGGGAAACACAATTTCTCACAACACCTGACCTCCTGGCTGACGTCACCCCTCCTCCGTGTGTGAATGGTGAAAGCTTCAAGATCTAACAGAACTAGCTTGCTTCCTTCAGGACTGGTAGGTTGATAAACAGCCATAATTAAAAATGCTTTTTTTTTTACCTGGTTGAGTAGTTTTTATGCTTTGTGTGGGTGAGGCAAAAGAGATTGGAAACTCATGAGTGGGCCACCGTAGCTGCAGTACTTTCTCTGAACTGCACGGCGCAAAAAAAAAATCACATTTATATTCCGGAACTGCGCTGCTCTGGGTGGCTGCATGTTGGAGTAGCTCTGTGGACTATAGGGTTGTCACGGTGTGAAAATTTAACCTCACGGTTATTGTGACCAAAATTACCACGGTTTTCGGTATTATCGCGGTATTTTTTAAAACGTGTTACATTTTCAGACAACTAAATAAACCCTGTATATCAGGAAAATGTTGTCCTCAGTTTGTGTCTAAATTCAGCCTAAAATGTGTTATTTTGTAATTATGTTGTTTATTTGTTTACATTTTTCCCCTTTAGTCTTTAAAATACCAATATCTCCCCATAACTTCTTATTTTTTGTCTGTTTGATGTCATCATTTTAAAAATATTAGATCAGATGATACTCAGGACTTAAGTAGCCTTCTAATCAGATACTTTTTTACCCTTACTTGAGTAATAAACCCTATATCAGGAAAATATTGTCCTCGATTTGTGTCCTTCCAGTGAGCTTTGCAGATGTGGGAAAATGTCATCAGGCAGTAATCGTTGTTAAATTCATAATTTTTCTCGGAGAGAGACCAACTCTTATCTGCCCCTGGGAGCCCCGTAATGCATAGCGTCATTTCAACATGGGGGTGTCCGCGACACGGTTTATATGCAGGTAGCGGCGCTACGGCTGCTTTATATAGCGACTCGTTGCGTTCTCCCTCAACCCAAATCCTCGGATCAAGCATTTTAGCTAAAACGCTAACGTTAATTTGCCTTGCGTTGACTGTAGAGTTGTGGGTGATGGTCACGCAGATGTGTCATGAGATTTGAAGCGTTGCTGCCTTTCACAGACGCTTTTTCTGCACATGTTGCAAACAGGATAGCCGTCTTCTATCAACTGTCCCTCGGCATTCTTCAAATATCCAAAAAAAATGCCCGTACTTCCCACTTTGTCTTGTTTGAGGAATAATAAATGTCCTGAGCGCTGCCGGCTCCTCCTTTGGCCATTATTTCAGCTTTAGCTTCAAGAAAGTTTTGGCTGTAAACAATAAAGTGCGCATGTGCTGCCGGCAACTTCAGCAGATGATACGGTGGCTGATAAGGGTCACCGCGCCTATACCGCAGCCACAGTAATCCACCAAGATAATGTAATTTTTTTTAAAACAAGACGGTTATTATTTTTGTCAACTTTTTTACCGGGGTTGACCGCTACACCGTTTACCGTGACAACCCTAGTTGACTATATGTAAGTTTTGCCTTTTCTTAGACATTTGTTCTTCTAGTTTCTCAAGAAACACTGTATTTTTTTGGACATTTTACTTTTCTGTTTCTGGTGCTGTGAAGCTTGGAGGATTTTTACAGCTATTTTTTTCACTTTTTTCACTTTTTGAGCATTTGTTAGATGTGTAACCATGGCAACAACCTGGTTTACAATCTGGAGCAGCTGATTAACATTGGAAAGGCTGAAATAATACCTCAACTGAAGCCACAAATCCCAAATGAGCTAAAACGCAAGAAGCGTGGGTGCAGAGCGGGAACAAAACGGAGTCAGAGAAAGAGGAAATTCAAATCATCTCTTCCATCGGTCATAATGGGCAATGTGAGATCACTGGCCAACAAGGTGGAGGAAC